TTTTGGAAGCATGAATTCGTTACCAGACACATTTAACTGTTTGAAGAAGCTGGTTCGTGCTATTTTAACTATATTTTCGTCTACCTATACCTGCGAGTCATTATTTTCAGAGATATAATTATATAATTATATATATATATATATTTCAGAGAATAACATTAAACACTCGCTTAGAAACCGTTTGACAGACGACTCCACATCAGCATGCATTCTGCTTAAACTAACATCTTACAACCCTAATATAAGTTATTTGTCATCTAATCTGCAACAACAGAAGTCACACTGATGTTACTTTAAAGTTAATGCTTTAAAGTAATTACTTTAAAGTTATGCATGAAACTGGTACATTGCAAAATTTTTTTCGTAATAAATAATAAGTTTTGAATTAAGAAATATTAAGAATTTCTTAATAAATAGTAAGTAAATAAATAGTTTTGAATTGATAGTATTTAGTATTATTAATTTCCCAATAATCACGTAAGTCAAAATTGTTTGATGGCACGCCTATGACCTCATTAAACATTTTTCTAGAAAAAATGGCACGTTGATACATAAAGGTTCGCCACCCCTGTGCTATATGATGGACATAGGGTTGTCAGAAAATCAATAATATGGACAGAACGATATGTCATCTAACCATTGGGGGGGAAGGCCCGTCGCGAACCGATTCTAGAGGGGGGGGGTAGTGGAAGTTTATTTTGCAGACTTTCATATACATGTATATATATTATACATGTGTGCGTGTTAGTAAAGAATTTCATAGTAGAAAAATAGCTTTTATAAATTGAAAATATACATTTTTTAATAATTTGTGATATTTAAACAGAATTTAACAATTTAAATAAGATATTTTGAATAATAAAGTATCCTATTTAATAGGTACTCTTATTTGTATTTTATTTCCCAATATTTTGAAAGTAAAGGAAGAAAAAAAACAGGTTACATCACCGGCGCAATAACTTCATTTAAAATTTATAAATTCTTTAAAAAAAAGACTCGCGTAAGTTCATCACTTCCTTTGAAAAATTTACTTAAACCTCTAACTAAGAGTTAATATAATTCAGAGAATAATTATCTGAATTTTATGACGCATTATTAGCTGTCTAAAAATTGAGGTCACTAAAATTTTTAAATTTGTGTCGTGGAAATAATAATGCAAGATAAATGGTTTTCGAGATTTTTACTTAATTATCGGTCATCTTGCTTCGAATTATCATAAATGGTTACTCTTGAAGCAGCACTCAATTGGAAAACTCACATTTCACAGCAAGATTTGGGGAGTCGGATCTGGGACAAAATCCCGAAATGGACGAAACTCAGAGAACATTGAAATCCGTTTAAATCCCATCACCAATGAAAGAATTTCGTCAAAGTCGGGATTTTGGCTTCGAATTATCATAAATAATTACTCTTGGAGGAGAAAAAAACCTCAATTGGAAAACTCACATTTCACAGCAAGATTTGCTGAGTCGGGTCAATGATGAAATTGGCGTAATACTGACAACGTTTATATCCATTTATATCCAGCTTACAAAGATAAGACAAACCCCAATTTCGAGATTTAGGCTGCTTTGAGAGGATGATTGGACCTACAAATATAAATACACTTTAAGCCTTAAGCTGTTTTTATCTCCTTCTCGAAACGTAATATAACAATCGTCATCTGTTCGTCTTGAACAACTAATACTAAAAAAAATAATAATAAAATGCCGACTCAACTTGAATTTGCCGACTGGATGAAATCGCTGAGGGGGGGGGGGTGAGACACCCTCTCACACCCCGTTGACGACGGGCCTGAATTAAGTACTAACGTAACAAAGTTTTAATTTTCTTTTTAAAAATTCTAAAATAAACTATTTTGATTAAAAATGAAGTGCTTTGANGACACAAGAACATATACTTTTTGCACTTTTTAAGGGCATTAGTTGAGATTTTTTAGGTCATCAAAATCCGGGCTCTACTCATCACCAATGAAAGAATTTCGTCAAAGTCGGGATTTTGGCTTCTAATTATCATAAATAATTACTCTTGGAGGAGATAAAAACCTCAATTGGAAAATTCACATTTCACAGCAAGATTTTCTGAGTCGGGTCCGTGATGAAATCGCAACATTGGCGAAATACTGACAACGTTATATCCATTCCCAGATAAGACAAACCCCAATTTCGAGATTTAGGCTGCTTTGAGAGTATGATTGGACCTACGAATATAAATACACTTTAAGTCTTAAGCTGTTTTTATCTCCTTCTCAAAACGTAATATAACAATCGTCATCTCTTCGTCTTGAACAACTAATACTAAAAAAAATAATAATAAAATGCCGACTCAACTTGAATTTGCCGACTGGATGAAATCGCTGAGGGGGGGGGGGTGAGACACCCTCTCACACCCCGTTGACGACGGGCCTGAATTAAGTACTAACGTAACAAAGTTTTAATTTTCTTTTTAAAAATTCTAAAATAAACTATTTTGATTAAAAATGAAGTGCTTTGAAATTAAGTATAAAACATCTAACTAATAAAAGAATGCTTAAAATTTCTGATAAATTATCTAAATCAAGTCGCTAAGCAAAATCAATAACGCTTTATCGATACTTCCAAAAAATAGAGGTCATTTCATTCTTTTAAAGGGATCCTTAAGTCAAGGACCCCCTGGGCCCCAAGCCTGATCCTGGTCCAAGCCCTTCGGCGATAGTTGAGCATGTTCTGCTTTTACATATACGTCCCGCAGTGGACTGATCGTTAAGACACGGTTCCCAGCAAATCACCGAAGTCAAGCATCACTGGCTACGGTCAGTGTGCGGGTGGGTGACCACTTGGATCAGTCTGCGTAGGGACCGAGGGTGTGCGGTATTGGTCCTCGTTAAACTGTGCTACCGTAAAGTGCTCGACTTCGCGCGCAGGTCGTCGGGCTACCGAAGCGGGGGTGCCATCCCTTCCGCAGAGGATCAAAATTGTGATGGCATGTCTTCGGATCATCCTCAGGGATGTTTCCCAGACCGTCGCCAATAGCCCATTGTGTAGCTCTAGTGCGACGTAAATTAACAACAACAACAGCTTTTACATATACATGTTTAAAAATTTCACATTGCAGACCAGACTGTGTAGGAGTCAGGGAACTGGCAGGACCATCAGGAAGGTTCTAGGTTCGATTCCCGAACAAGGCATGGATGTTGTTTCATTCTCTGTACTATCTGTTCTTACTGTGGGAGCAACGTTGGCCCACCTAATATTGTGCCCCTGAAAGAGTGGTCAACAAATATGCCCTATAAATGCCCGGATTGAGGAAATGTAAACACAGGTAGGCATTAGAAATTTCACATTGGTCAAGTAAAAATTATTCAAACTAAAAGGGTTGATAAATGCAAAAATATTCCCATTTAGTATTTTCATAATTGGTTTATTACGAGTTGCATATTTTCGGTGAAAAAATATTCTCACTTATTTTCATAATTGGTTTATTACAACTTGCATATTTTCAGTGAAAAAATATTCTTACGTATTTCGATAATTCGTTTATTACAACTTGTATACTTTCATTGAAAAGATATTCTCACTTATTTTGATAATTGGTTTCTTTCGATTTGCATATTTTTAGTGAAAAAATATTCTCACTTATTTTGATAATTGGTTTATTACGACTTGCATATATTTGGTTGAACACTAGAAGTACTGTATATTTTTAAAATTTAAGAAGACCATGCAAATATTATGTAAATCATTTTGATAAAGATTATTCGAGTTGACACAACATAGTTTTACTCTCTCTTTCCTGTTTTATAAACATGTCTCACCCCGGCAGAAAAAGTGACACAAATCAAAAAACAGCATTTGAGAAAAATCAACTTAAGGAATACTACTATAAAACTTATACTAAAAGAGAACGATATTGAGCACAATCTAGAGATGAGACACTTTTTGAACTTGATGGGACACTTCATGCATATTTTTATTGACATATCCTCAAAATTGCTGTTATTTGACTTGCGTCACTTTCCTAGCCGGGGTAAGATATATGTTTTTTAATTATTATCAATCAATGATATTATATTCCTTAACATTATAAACACTATAGCCTTGACTTAAAACATTACAGCCTAGATGATGCGATGGTTTTGAGAAGAATTTATTTTTTGAGTATAAAAAAAAACTAATATTACGTATTTTAACATTTGTTTGACAAATCTTTACTAAATCTAACAATAAACTATGTAACATCTACATCACGTTCCTTAAAAGCCATTGCATCTACATATTTTATCCTTTAAATGCATTGAACTACAGATCTTGGACTCGTTATGGATCAATTATGAACCATATTAATTGTAAACTTAATTTAGATACGAATAACTTAAGACATAGATATTTTTATCTGTGTTTTACCACCTTAAAAACATTTCAATACCGCTACATTGCAACCCAGTTCAATTGTAATAAATTTCTTGCCATGTAAATGGATTAAAATAATTGTCTAAAAAAATATGTGACGTGTAAGGCAACCTTCTAAAAGGACTAAATTAAAATGTAAGTAATTCAGCTGAGTTCGATATTTGAAATTGGATATCCTCTGCTAGTTGCGGAATAAAATCAACCAATAACCTTTAAAAAAANTGCTTGAAACATGGCGAATTGTGGTAGATCGACTCTACCACTGAGGATATTTTTATGTCACCACTGAAACACTTTGCGTTTTATGTTTCAAATCCCTTTTGTTTTCTTCATTCACATCCGGTGAATCTTGAAAATGGAGGCCTATTTTCAAGTGCTTGAAACATGGCGAATTGTGGTAGATCGACTCTACCACTGAGGATATTTTTATGTCACCACTGAAACACTTTGCGTTTTATGTTTCAAATCCCTTTTGTTTCTTCTCATTGCAAGTTTTGAAAATGGGTGCCTTTTTTTGAGCGCTTGATGCATGTCAACTGATATTTCGAATTTGTATATTTTTGAAGAGAATGAAGTTTTTTGGGCGAACCCATTGTTATAGATGGAGGGTGGTCATAATGTAATGGCTCTTCGGTGTATATACAACGTGTTATTCTCGTTAAACGCACTTAACTGGTTTAAAAAAAGTGCCATATCCACTACATATTTGCCACTTTTCCGTGGCTTACCTCTGAATCTTTTTAAGAACTCACGTATTTCAAATATCATTGAAAATAATGTGGTCTGCTATCGTTTCTCATAAAATTCAAATATTTTTCTTATGGCAAATACATAATAATTTAAGATAAATAGCATCCATCTGTCCTTCGATCGCTCCTTATAAGGAAACGTTCTCCAGTCGAGATAGGAAGATCGATTGTTATGTCAGGCAAAGGGTGGTCCACTGTTGACGCGTCACTTTTGTTGAGAACTTTTTCAATGTACTGTAGGATTAGATGATCATCCCACTGACTCCTGGGTGGATTGTGGATTCGGGGATGTCTCAGTTTCAATCCAAGGTTTTCCAATTCTGTCATCATGACTTCGTAGTTATAACCTTCGTGGCGGACGTCGTGTTCAACAAAATCTGCTCCAAGGATTTCTTCGGGTGGTGCCAGACGAATTGGTACAAAATAATCGATTCCCTAAAAAAAAATATCATAACTAAAAAATTGTAACAAATCAAGGCAAAAAAAGAAAAATTATAACAATATAACTGCCAGTTTTTATTCTCTACAAGGATAATTTCCAAAGTGGTAGTAAAGGGACAATCGAATCGCAATTACAGAAATATTTTTATATTATGCTAAAACTTAAGTTTACCATAATTAATAATGAAATTATTATGAAAAATTAAATATTAATGAAAGGAAATGCAACCACTTTATTATTTTTTGGTACATTACTGCCTTTATTACATTTATAATTTTTTATATTTTACTTTATCGCCGACCAGGTAGCCGAGTGGTTAGCGTGCCTGACTGCGGAGCCGGTGGTTGCGGGTTCGAATCATGCTCTGGGCATGGATGTTTCTTTCTCTCTCTCTCTCTCTCTGTTCTATGTCCTTTCTTCTGTGTGAATGTGACCCGCCCTATAAGCGGGTTTGTGGTTGTATAACGTAGGCGACGCAACTCACCGTCGTGGCTTAGCCATAGGTGCCCACTGGGTAACGATAAGAGAGTAGCAATCCTGGCATTTCTGAGGCCAATGGGAAATAGACCCAAGTGTCCGTCATTAACGAAAAAAAAAAATTATTTTATATTTTATAACCGTCGTTGTGAACATCCGACCCAATTTTATGGGTTTACGACTACTAATGTTCAACTCCGTAGCCTTGTAATTTTGAACCCAATCCAGAAGACAAGGGAAATTTGGATCAAGTATAGGAAGAAATTTGCCTTTGAAGAGGACTTTTTGATGTAACTAACCTGCATTTGCGTTACATGGAGAGAGGAAAACCACAAAAACCTTGCACGGTTAGCCTGACGGCAAGGGGACTCCAACCCATGAACCGTCTACCACTGAGGATACTTCACGTCAGCACTGTGATCAGCGCAAGCCGGATGCGGAATTCGTATCGACTGGGATTCAAACCCGGTTCGCCACATTGCGAACGCTCAATCCCCTGAGCCGTCGCGGCTCAATTTTATGCTTTGCGTTAATACGCAAAAATCTCTTTAAAACGTAACTTTGAAATGTTTTAACTACAACTTCAATTCTTAAAGTAGATTTGCAGTGCGCCAAATTAAAAACGGATCACCTTGAATAACTTTTAATCTAATGGTCGGATCTTCACGTTCCAGAATTCAATCTTAATTGCTCGAGGGGGTGACATCAAATATGCAAATTTATAAGTGCAGATGATATTTCAAGTTACGAAATCAGACCCAAAACAGTACTTTCTCTTAATAAACATACCCTTTTTTGACGCATTCTGATTTTCGACAACCAAAATATAGGGGTAGCAGCAATCTGCGAAATAGGGTTCTTATAATTTGGACAGGGGAGCGCTCCGAATTCTAGACCTCTTAAAAATTAATTTTACTTTCTGCGTATTTCGCTGTATCTCGAGAACTTTTTAAGCAAAATGAAAAATTTTTACACACAATAAAATTTGTTTCTCTAAAGAATGTAATTTTACATGGCAAAATACAAAAGTTGAGACAAAATCGGTCGAATACTTCCTGAAAGATCGAATTTTAAATATCTGACTTTTTTGAAATTCAATTTCTCAGGAACTATTCAACCGATTTTGTCTCAACTTTTGTATTTTGCCATGTAAAATGACATTCTTTAAAATGATGCAAAAAATTGCATACCTTACAATTCAAAATTTTTTCGACCCTTATTAAAGAAAATATTAAAAAATAATAAATGTCTATTAAAAACTATTTTTGCAACGAATTATCTTTGGCTAAAAGAATTGTATTACTGTGTGTAAAATTTTTTTAATTCACTTAAAAAATTCTCGAGATATAACGAAATACGCAAAAAGTAAAATTATCATTAAGGGGTCCAAACTTCTCCTGACCAAATTATAGGGACCATATTTCCCAAATTGCGACTACTCCCCACATTTTGGAGGTCAGAAATCCGGAACCATCGGGAAAAAAAGGCATATTTATTCAAGGAAAATACTTTTCGTTGTTTGATTTCGTAACTTAAAATATAATCTGCACTTATTAATTAGCATATTTGATGTCACCCCTTTGAACCATTAAGTTTGAGTCCTAGAGTGTGAAGATCCAATCATTAGCTCAAAAATAATCAGAGTGGTTCGTTTTTTCTTTTTTTTCATTTTTTTTTCTGCCCACTGTACATCAAAAAATACTGGCTGTGTTCAATCTGTAGATAACAAGCACTATCGAGCGTGATTATAGCGGGTTTAATAGCTCGAGATGCTAACTTGCACTACTTTGGGTGGGGGGAATTTTACTAGTGGTAGCTAGATCATAGTCGTAATGAAGGATTTTTAATTTACTAAATTTTATTTCAAACTTTCCCCAATCAGCCAACTTCCATTGAAGTTTTCAGTCAGGCAAGACATTAGCAAGTGCGACCCTAGACTGTAATTTCAAGAGAAGTTGGGTTCCAACGACCTGGATTAAAATTAATAAGTGGTAGCTAAAATTTTTCAAGACTACTGAAAAATACTTGCATTTATCCCCTTTCATTTATGAATCGCGAAATTATTCTCGATTTATTTTTTTACACCCATAAATATTTATTTGACATTAAATATTTATTGATAGCTCAAAGCATCTAAATATATTTCATTTTAAATATTTTCCGTGGTAACCCTAGTGAAGTGACATATGCTCTTCACTGTTTAATGAATAGTGGTTGATAAAAAACCTTAACTATTTAAAAGTCTTTAGTTTAACATTTCTAGTGGTTTCTAGCATTTGCTGAATTAATGTTGATAAACAGAAAACTACTATATTATGTTTTTATTTTCTAACTATCGTTGAACAGCAGACTCAACTTTTTGGGATTACGACTACTAATGTTCAACTCCGCAGCCTTTTGAATTTTGAACCCAATTCCGAACACAAGGGAACTCCTGGATCAAGTATTAGGAGAAATTCCCTTCCTGGAGGACATTTTGATAGAACTAACCGGCATTTGCGTCACATGGATAGGAAAACCACAAAATCCTCCCATAGTTAACATGATGTCAAGGGGACTCTAATTCATAAACCCTCTACCACTGAGGATATCAGAACTGTGATCGGTGCAAGCCGGATGTGGAATTGGTATCGACTAACCATCGCTGAGATTCGAATCTAGTTCACCTCATAGGAAGGCGAACTCTCTACCCCCTGAGCCATCACGGCTCTGGCTACTAACATGCAATTTCCTTGACTTTTCCATGTTGCATAACTTACTTTTAATATAAGGTAAGTAGTGACCATGCTCCAGAGACTGACCGCAATACATGCCAATAGTTGCACTCCCAGCAGATACAGGCCACCGCCCTTCAATAGTCCACTTCGACTGTGCGTAAGATTGAGTAAGTCATCATCATCAATGAATAATCCAACTGCAATCATTCCCCATAGACCACCCATGGCATGCACAGCTACGGCCCCAACAGGATCGTCAATTCTGTATTTGTCCATGTAAGGAGGAACTATGTTCACCAGCACAGCACCAACACCTCCAACTAAGAGAGATTCCCATGACCTTAGAAAACCTGAACCAGCTGTGGGGAAAAAGTATGATTGTTAGTTTTTAGAATTAACAATGCGTCGAGAAACATTAAAACAAAAACAGTGTTCATGAAATATTCATAAAATTTATTTACGTGTTAAAGGTTTGTAATTAAATTCTTCAGTTAAAAATTTCATACTGGTCAGAATTCTTAATAAGAAAATACAAAATAAAGAAAAGCAAAGGAAGGACTGGGAATTTTTTAACGGTTAAAGCTTACATTTAAATGCCTGAGTAAAAATTTAATGACTTAACTAAAGTTCATATTTTTAGGCCTGCCAACTACTACGCTTTTTGGAAAATATTTTATAGAGCAAAAAAGCAAAGCTTCCCGAATTTTCGGTAATTTTGGCAACATTTTAAAAGCCTTACCACGAAGAGTCAGCAAGTGATTTTTTTCTAAAGTTTTCTTAATGATTTGGCAATTTATATTTTATTTTGATTTGGTTATTCTAACTGTAACTTTATCTTTATTTTTCTTATATGTGGGCGTATCATTATTAAGTCTTACTCTGTGTACTTTTAAATTGTGTTTATCTCGCATTATTTTTCGAATGTCAATTTTTCTAATTGCTTTTTCTTATTTGTTTTTCCATCATAGGGCCTCGGGGCACTGTCAGTTTTTGGTTTCACCACTGACAACAGAAAGGCTCCAGGGTGTTTGCAGACAATGTGTACCTTGAAGAATTGCTGTCCTGCTAACAGACATATCTTAAAAATTTTTGTCGTTTTTTGCTAGAATTGTATTTCTGACTTTCTAAATTAAAATAAAACAAATTTGGTTTTAGCTGTTTTCAGCACATTTCCATTTTGATTTATTATTTTAAATGTTATTTTCTTATTTCGTCTTTTTCTGAATTTGTAAATTAGTTTCATTCTTTGATTAGACAGACATAACATAATAATAGCGACATGAACATAATTTAGACAAAACAAATTCATTTAAGCTGAATTTATCTCTATCATTTCTTAAGTGATAAAAAAAATCTTAACATTTTAAGATTTTTACGTTTTAAATTCCTTAAGTAATTAAAAGAATGTAAATTCCATTTAATTTTCTTGGAGTTAAAGTGTAGATTGTAGAATTTCATATTTCAAGTTTTAAAGAAATACGAAATAAAGCTTTGTTATATCACCTGTAACAGCAACTAAAGCTCCTAAAATGGCATTTATCAAATCTCCAACCAAAAACAATTTATTTTTTATGTACCTGGAAAAAAAACAGCTATGATATTATTTTATAAAATTTCATTATTATTAATTATATTATTTCTATACAGGGTGTCCAACCTAGGACATACTGATCTCAAAATCTTGGAAACATAGGCTTATATTGAACAGCAGACCCAATTTTTTGGTTTTACCACTACTAATATTCAACTTCATAGCCCAGTAATTTTGAATACAATCCAGAAGACAAGGGAACTCCTGAATCAAGAATTGGGTGAAATTTGCCTTTGTGGAGAACTGTTTTAATAGTACTTACCCACAATCGCGTTACATGGAGAGGAGAACCACGAAAACTTCCCACGGATAGCCTGACGGCTAGGGGACTCCAACCTATGAGCCGTCTACCACTGAGGATACTTTACATCAGCACTGTGGTTAGTGCAAGTGGGTGCGGAATTCAAATCAACCAGCCATTGCTGGAATTCGAACCCGGTTCACCTCATTAAAAGGTGAGCGCTGAGCCATCACGGCTCGTGGAGGAATGAAATAAACGATAAAAGCTATTGTGGAAGCTGTAAAAATTTAAAGCAGAAATTTTGGAATTTAGATACAAAAGTTGACAACAGATGGCGCTATATTGAGTTTTTAATTTTAAAAAAATAGAATACCGGCAGATTGTGCCAACAGATGGCGCTATATTGAGTTTTAATTTTAAAAGAATATGAATACCGGTAGATTGTAATCTAGCCCTATTCTATTATACATATGTGTGTTCAGTACCAGAAACACACATTTCTCAATGGAATTTTACGTTTTAACACTAAATTTGATCTCTCTGGTAAGCAATCATTTGCTGCGCCATCTGTTGGCAACTTTTACAACTAAACTCGAAAATTTCTGTGTAAATTATTTTCGCAATAGATATACCGTTTTGTTTCATTTCTCTATTGCCATTTGTTTTCAAGATTTTCAATTTTAAAATCAGTCCTGTTCTCCGCAGGACAAGCTGTTAAATACATAAAAATAAATTTTGTACAATTCTGTTAAATACATAAAAATTTGTATTGAAATGGATCGCGGTTAAATGAAAATAATTTTGTAAAATAAATTTTTTTCCAAACCTGATGTGACATGACCTGTTTCCGAAAATGTTAGTTTCACCACCAACAGTTTTCTGTGATTCATGGAGGTAAGTAATAGTCATCCTTTGATTATTATTTTTTGATAATTCTTACAGAATTTTAATCGATGATTTTAAAAATAAAATGCGTGATACGATGTTTAAAAATTATGCACAAATATTTTAAAAATTATGCAACTAATTATTAAAAACGAATACTTGACTGAATGTAAACAATAAAAATCTTCCTAAAACCGGAAGAAATTTAGAAAACTTCCTGTGTATCCCTCCGCTTACTAGGCGATGTGTGAACAGGCTTAATATTCTAGGAAGTTTTATTAATGTGATTTATGTTTAAATTTGAGTATAATTTTACCATTCATGAGAGCTTCCTGTAATTTATAAATTTTAACAAAAACAAATTTAAGGAAATTAGTATCACAGCATAAATTAAGTGCTTGGTTTGCCATGTTTTCCCTTGTTTGGCTCTATTTGTATAAAATATCACTACTTGTAATTTTTTGGGGTTGCATCTTGAAGGGCATAGCATGTCTGCTGAGTCTACCGAATTCTGCTGAGCCCCTAAATGTTGTTTAAACATAGTAACCAATAGTAAGAAATGTTGTTTAAACATAGTTAAACATAGGAACAGCACGTAACCTTGGAGGACTGGTTAACATTATGTCAATGGAAGCTAGACTTCTTTTCCTGTGTACATTCTTTGCTACTACGTGACTATTGGATCAAAAATTATTTAGATAGTTTTTTTAAGAATTAAATTAGAACCTTTTTTTAAATGAAATGCAACTTACGAATAAATTAACCCAGCTAATCCTCCGGCTAAAGATGCGTTGATCGTATTTACAGCAGACCTGTAAAATTAAAAAAGAAAGATTGTGATTTTTTTAGTAATTATTGTGATATAATAACTATGAATGAAACATTAACGTCAATAAAACTAGGGAAAAAAATTAATTTGTTCCTGTTGGATGAGATTTTCAAACTGATCTTTATATATACGCGTCGCTGATTTCAAATCTGCAATCGATTTCTCAAGACAAGCTATAGTTTTTTATGCAGTTTAACAGTATATTCCTAAGCAGGATTTTTTTTAAACTTTCTGAGTATCCCCACTTCCCTACTACGAAAGGAGTGGTGGAAATATACATTTCAATTTATGATGCAATACGTCAAGTTTATATGTTTTTAGTTTTAAGTGTTATTTACAAAGGAGCAGACAACTGTGTATGTATATATTACCATGAATGACCAAAATCAAGAGAATGTCGACCTTCACCAGTGAATGTCAACAATCACATAGTCGCTTTTGTGAATGTCCGAAATATTTGTTACATCCGATTTGATATTAACTTGTTATTATTAAATTTTAATATCCCCTGAGGATAGATAAGGAGGAACATCGGAGTACCGGGCAAATGTATACCGGACAGTGGCACTGAAACTTAAAAAATGATTAATGTAGGGCATACCGTGCAGTGGCACTTAACTAGACCTAGTATACATTTCGAATATTAACCAAAGCGACTATGTGATTGTCAACATTCGCCGGTTGAAGTCAAATACCACCAACAATACCACAGCAATTAAATACCACAGCCACATATATAAACTTTACGTTCTTTTTAAACTTGCACATTCAGACAAATAACTAAAACTTTTGATAACAATTTTGAAGGCAATGGAAATAACCTCTAGGACTGACCATTTTACTGTGGAACGGAGATTCGTCACTCCCGAAAAGTTTCACTGTAGTAATCTATATTATATAAAACATTAAATAGAGTTTAGAAAAAGAGATGGTACAGTACAGAACCCGTTATCCGGAAATCAGAAAACCGGAAAACCAAAAAACCGGAATTTCAATAATTCCGGAAGACCGGAAATTCAATAAATTTTCCCGCCATTTTTATAAAAAAAATTTTTTTTTTTTCCTCATAAGATTTTAGGATTTTTCTTTCTTTTTTGAAAGATGTTTACCTTACCATCATTTTGGAAATAATCATTAGTGTATTACTCCATCGTTTTTTCTTCTTTTTAAGATTATATCCAAAAAAAAAATTTTTTTTTATTTGGGTTTAACAACAAAAAAAACGGCTTTTTGTAGCGATTCAGAAAACCGGAAAAATCAGTTATCCGAAATAGCGATGGTCCCGATCGTTCCGGATAATCGGTTCCCTACTGTATTAACAGTCTCGCCCTAACTTACCTTCCTGCGTAATGCCATTTATCACCAGATATTCCAAATGAACTTCCACAGTTGAAAACCAACCATCCCCACCTGAAATTCAAGATTGAACAGTTTTTATGGTCCATATATCTATGTTTCATACATATATTAAATGATGAATGAATAGGAAATTCAAAAAACTGATTAAAAAGTTGTTGTTTTTTTACCACGTTTATATTAACTTCCTTCGTGTAAGTGGCCTTCGTGTATTGTTCGGGTGGAATTTTGTAATCGATTTTAAACTAACTCCGCGGCTAGCTACAGACTTCAAATTTGACACATAGTTCAGAATTGGATGACAATGGATAAAAATGCAGAGAAAAAAGACATACAAAGTAAAATAAAATTAAAATAAAGAAAAATTAGTATTTTCGCGATTGTCTTTTGTCGAATCGATGATTTCAAATGAGTGTCACATGTCAGTTGAAAAGTTTTGTGTACAGTGAGTGAAAAAATTGAGATTTTGGAAGTGAGTACAAAAGAAAAATTATATTTTCAAAAACCACGTTTTTGTAGTGGAGAATAATAATTAAAAAATAAAAATTTGAAAAACGAAAAACGTGGGGTGTATGAAATACATAACAGTACATATGCACATTTCCTTACTCATACACATGCACAGCCACATACACATACACATACACATATACATACACAGGCATATACACAAACATATTCCACATCCACATTCAGATACAATTACAGATATACATACACATATTCTCATGAGCACAAATACACACACTAATATAACATTACTGTTATGTATTTCATGCGCCCCACGTGTTTCGTTTCTCAAATTTTTATTTTTTAATTATTATTCTCCACTACAAAAACGTGGTTTTTAAAATTAAAAAAAAATTGATTTTGATTTTTATTAAATAATGTGAAGAAGTAGTTATTGCTGTCTCCAATAAAAAAAAATTTCATGAGTACCTAAAAAGTAAAATAAAAAGGTTTTACAACGTATTTTCGCCATAATTTATTTCAAATTTAAATCCGTGTATCTCAACAAAAAAAAATAAAATTGCTAGAAAGTTGAAATATGTAAATTTTAGACCATTTAAAGTATATTTTATTTTCAAAAAGTGGCGTTTTTTTTAATCAAAAATTTATTTTTTTTAAATAGCAAAAGAAGTATTCCTGTTTAGATATTTTAATGATAATAGCAAAAAATACTGAAGACAAATAATTAAAACTTGGTTACTAATTTAAAATTTAAAAACATCAAATTTTTTTAAAAAATTTAATATTTTTTAAATGTTAAATGATAAAGAAAAGGTTTCTTATACCTTTTAAATAATAAAATAGATCGAAAAAATTTCTAAAAAAAATTACATGCATTTAAAAAGAAATCAAAAAATTTGTCCCGGACGCAAAATAACATAAATCCACTCGAGTTAAAAGCTTCTTTGGCGACGATTGTTTTGGCGTTGGAGGCAAACTCTACCGCATTTAAAATTTGGCTATGTAAGGAACTCCCCTAGCCATTCGTCTGGAGTGGTAGTGATAACCATGGTTACGGTATTTAACTATTTCAAGTAAGGGTGTTGGGTCCTTATTTTAGACTCGAATCGGCGAGGGAAAGGGAATCAGGGGAGATAGAAGTTTTGAAATGCGCTATATTTTGTTTCCATAGCAGCAGGCGGCCTTAGACTTTGTGATGAGGGGAGTTCTTTCGATAGACAAACTATATGTGTTTAGAATCGCAAGCAATCAAAATTATCGTCGAAAGAAACTTTCTCGAGTAGGCCCTACTACATTGCACCCTAACTCCTCTTGATTAACACTAAACATACCAACACTTAATCTATACCTATTTCTACCATAGACGTTCAAATAACTGGATTTTATGTTTCTTGATTGAATGTATGCAATATGGATGTTAGGAAGGAAATAAACTAAAAAAAACTTTATTATAATTAAACAAAATTGTATACTGCCGATTTTTTATGTATTACAAACACAAGGAATAAGAATTTTTAATTCATTGCTCAACACAATTTTATAGGGTATTTCTATTGTACATTTTCCGCAAACACATTTCTTCTAATTATTATTTTATATTCATTATTATTCAATTCATCATTATTATTATATCCATTATTATTCAATTATAAGAATATATAAGAATTATAATTCTAATAATTACTCTTATAATTAATATTATTTCTTCTAAGAACTTGTGTTGTCGTGATTGTTTCGACATTTTTCTGGATAAATTATAAGCAACTTACCGAAACATTTAGTTTTTGTCACTTTTTCTGCCACAAAAATTTTTGATAACAAACTTTCTTGAAATTTGAATTCACAGTTATTCTGATTGAACTAACTACGCAACAGTCTTTGAAGAAATGCGCAACTAATCGAATGCAATACATTGAACGGGCATTACATCGTAATAAATCTTATGAAGCAATAAATTGTTCCCTCGGAAAAATGACCGGTTGTAATTGAAATAGGTATACGACAAGTTTTATTCGAAACAAACAAAATACAAAAGAAAATTATATTAAGAGATTATTAACTGTATATAATTGTTAGAAAAAGTCATGAAGTCAAACGTGCAAAAACGATAAGATAATAAGCGCATATCCGATGCAAAAGTTCTTTTAAACAGTAGTGGTATGTTTAGTGTTAAATAATTCATTTTATAAAATAAAAAATACCACTTGCCATAAAGTAAATGTTCCAACCAGGGCATTACCAGGATTCCCCATGGGTAACGGACCAGGACCATTGTCATATCTTCTTAATCTCGGCTTCAGCATCATAGCAGCCACCAGAGCGGATATCCCACCTGTAAGGTGGACGGCGCATGATCCAGCAAAATCCAGTGCACCCAAATGTCTTAAGAAACCATGCTCAGCCCACAACCATCCGGCTGGAATACAATAAGTCAAAGTGTTCAGAAAAGAGAAAATGCAATAGGCGTGGAAGTCGGTCCTCTCGGCCATCGCTCCGGACACGATTGTCGTCGCTGTAGTTGCAAATGAAAGTTGGAAGATGAACGTCGCAAACACGGCTCCCATCGTTTCAGGCTCCGCGTCCAGAACAAACGATCCTATTCCAAAAAGGAACGTCGTCCCGGGTCCGTTTCCGTATTGAAAACCAAAACCAAACATCCAGTAAGAAAGTCCCCCTAAGACGACGTCGGCTGCGTTCTTCATTAGAATGTTAACCTCGTTCTTCTTCGTAACAGCACCCGATTCCAGCAATCCAAAACCTTTAAAATAAAAGAAGATACAATTATAATTGATCAATGTTTTGTAAAAAAGGTTTTTATTATCTTATTGTTATGCATTCTCATTAAACAGAAAATAAACAAACTTTATTATCATAAATTAAAACAAGTAATATAAAGGAAAAAAAATTTTAAGTCAATTTCTACTCAGGGGATAGAAAGCTCGCTTTCCACTAAGGTAAACCGGTTCGAATTCCAGCGATAGCACCGACCACAGTGCTGAAGTAAAATATCTTCAGTGGTAGACGAATCATGAATTAGAGTCCTCTTGCCGTCAGGCTAACAGTGGGGGTATTCGTGGTTTTTCTCTCCATGTAACGCAAATCCCAGCGATAGCTAATCGATTCGATTTCTGCTCCCGGCTCGCACCGACCACAGTCCTGACGTAAAATATTCTCAGTGGCAGATGGATCATGGGTTAGAGTCCCCTTGATGTCAGGCTAACCGTGGAATGTTTCTGTGGTTTTCCTCACTCCATATACAGCAAATGTTGGTTAGTTAACTCAAAAAGTCTTCTACAAAGGCAAGTTTCTTCCTATATTTGATCCAGGAGTTCCCTTGTCTTCTGGATTAGGCTCAAAATTACAAGGACACGGAGTTGAACATTGGTAACCGTAAGCCCTAAGTAGAGACGACCGTTCAATGACGGTTATAAAATTAAAATAAATAAAAAATATTTTATAGAGTGGTACACATTTAAAAACTAATGCTTTCAAAATTTTTGGTAATTTGCAAACATTTTAAAAGCCTCACCACAAAAGAGCTGGAATAAAGTGGCGTTGCGCATGAACTTTTAAATCATTTATATGTAGCGGTGTGGAAAATAAGTGTAAATTAATAAAAAAAATAATACATTAAAACATAAACATCGCTACCACTAGAATAAATATTTGTGAAAAGCGTTGAAAGTAAATATAAAACGAAATATAAAGCGCCATGTAAATATAAAACGAAAAGTTGCCGATAGAATATGCAAAAATTACATATTGACAACATATATTTATAACACGACATATTGACAATTTAAGTAATAATATTTAGTTCTAACAATGATGTTATTTCTAATTTAAAATGAAATTTAAATTTTCATTGACTTTTCATTCAAATAAAACTTTTGTTTGTTAATTTTAGGTTGATTTGCTATCACATTTTTATTTAATCCAAAACAAGTAAAAATTAAATTAATGTATAAGAAAAATATCTTAGGAGCTAAAATATTAGAGCTGAATTCCATTCAAAATCAAAAATAATTTAAAATATAAATTTTTTTTTGTTTTTTTTACGTGAATCGACAATTTGACGTCACTGAAATCCGATATCCACGTGACTCTTACGTCATTCTAGGAGTGGACTGTTAATGGATTTGCAACTGGTATTTAATGGTTTTTCATTTCCGCGTCGGAACCATCAGAATAACAACACAAAGGAAATAGATACTTCCTTTCTTACACCCAATTTGAATTTAACACGTTGAATGCCACGTAATTTTGCATGGATTGACCGTCTGGCCACAACGGTAAATAACTACAAGCTAAATTTGCAAATATTAGACGGATTTTGTTAGTTTTTAAAAAGGTTTTGCATAACATATCTGTAAAAAGTTGGGAATTATATAAGCCTGCGAATTGTTTAGAAATAGTGGTGGATAAAAATCTACTAAATTGAATTTATTAAACCAAGAATCACAATTGATAAACTACCACGTTAAAATATTTATTCGCTGTCCGGAGCAAGTTGGCATATCTGTGTATATAAATAAAACGATTTTTGTGTGTTCTATATTGCATTAATTTCTTCAAACCATTTTAGTAACGATAAGAATATAAAAAAATTAAAATCATTAAAAATTTAATCGAATCATGTATTTCTTATAACCCAGGCTTCATCGGTGACCCCCGTGGCGCTACGGACAAACTCGGTGCCAGTCACCACACCAGTGACCCCATGACATTCAACGTGTTAAAGANTATTATGTTGGCCTCTCTTTCAGGGGCACCATATTAGGTGGGCCAACGTTGCTCCCACAGTAAGGACAGATAGTACAGAGAAGGAAAGAACATCCGTGCCTTGCCCGGGATTCGAACCCAGAACCTTTCTGATGCAAGGGCAGTTCCCTAACCCCTACACAGGCCGGTCGGCGATCCAGGTATGTTGTCGGTGTGAAATCAATAAATCTCAAGTAGATCAATCAATTCCCTCAGTAAATAACAGTAAAGGAGTTTGTAGCATTTTTTAGTAAACGGTAGCCTTCATGTAACAGGAGACAAAGGGGACGTTAACTTAATAAAATATTTTATTGAGTCGTGGTGGCTCGGGGTGTTGAGCACTCGCCTCTCAATGAGGTGAACCGGGTTTGATCCCAGCGATAGCTGATCGATTCGATTTCCGACATTGTAAAATATCCTCAGTGGTAAACGGATCATGGATTAGAGCCCCCTTGCCGTCAGACTAACCGTGGAAAGTTTTCGTGATTTTTCTCTCTCCGTGTAACGCAAATGCGGGTTAGTTACATCAAAAAGTCCTCCACAATGGCAAATTTCTTTCAATAATTGATCCAGGTGTTCCTTTGTCTTCTGGATTAAGCTCAAAATTACAAGGCCACGAAGTTGAACATTAGAAGCCGTAAACCCTAAATAGGACCGACCGTTCAATGGCGGTTATAAAATAAAAATAAAAAAGGAAGTACTGGCAATTTTTAAAGTGTTAAAGCTTATATTTAAATGCCTGGGTAAAAATTTAATGACTTAACTGAAGCTCACATTTTCAGGCTTGCTAATTATTACACTTTTTGAAAAATATTTTATTGTGTGGTACATATTTAAAAACCAAACCTTTCAGAATTTTTGTTAATTTGCAAGCATTTTAAAAGTTTTACCATGAAAGAACTGGAATAAAGTGGCGTTGCATATGAGCTTTCAATTAATTTATATAGTGTTGTGAAAAATAAGTGTAAATGAATAAAAAAAAATGCATTAAAACATAAACATTGCTACCACTAGAATAAATATTTATGAAGAGCTTTGAAAGTTGGCAGCCCCGTAAATATAAACGTATATTTACGTTTATTTCACAGAACACTGATCCCTTGTAAATATAAACGTAAATGGGAAAATAACATATTGACAATATATATTTATAACACGACATATTGACAATTTAAGTAATAATGTTTAGTTCTAACAATGATATTATTTCTAATTTAAAATGAAATTTAAAATGAAATTTAAATTTTCATTGACTTTTCAGGTAATTTGATTTAATTTCATTTAATTTTAGGTTGATTTTCTATCACCTTTTTTATTTTATCCAAAACATGTAAAAATTAAATTAATGTATAAGAAAAGTATCTTAGAAGCTAAAATATTAGAGCTGAATTCCATTCAAAATCAAAAATAATTTAAAATGTCACTTATTTTCTTTTACATGAATTGACAATTGACGCCACTGAAATCCGGTATCCACGTGACTCTTACGTCATCCAAGGAGTGAACTGTTAATAGATTTGCAACTGGTACTAAATGGTTTTTCATTTCCGCATCGGAAGCATCGGAATAACAACACAAAGGAAATAAATACTTCCTATCTTACACCCAATTTGAATTTAACACGTTGAATGCCACGCTGATTTCACATGGCTTGACCGTCTGGCCAAACCACGGTGGGCCAGCATTCAAGGTTTCGAGGCCAAAATTAGTATTTCGATTAAATTTGTTTCAAAATTCGGGGTTGTTATTTAGGGATTTTTATGAGCAGGTAAATTGAATTCATAGTTGAAATTTTGAAATACACTAAAAATACCCACACAAAAAAATGGCGAGCAAAAATAAAAAGAATAATATAGTATGTTTAAATAATTAAATACAAGCAATGAAAATTTAATAATTTTCGTAATTTTATATTAAAAGTGAAAAGCAAATTTTTCTTCCGAAGTAATATTACAAAATAACGCGAATTAATTACAAAATAACGCGTAAACATGAAAAAAAAAACATAATTTTTGTTGTTTGGTATATTTAGTCCACCTTCGCAATACGGGCCAAATGGGGCAGTTTTTTTTTTTTTTTTGAAAGAAGAAACATCAAAGAAGACAACAAATTAATTACCTCGTGGAACTTTTTGGAACTAGGCTTCGAAAGTCATTCAAACATTGTAAAATGTCAAATGATAAGATATAAACTATAAGTTTGTCAAGAGTATTAACTAATCCAACAAATTGAAACATTTTACTAAACTTTCAGACTAATTACTCTGATAAAAATGTAACATTAAGGTGAAATTCCTATATATATTTCTGAAATAAAAATTTAAAAGTTACATTAAAAAAAAAAATTTTTAACATATTTTTCATTACATTGTACTCTTGTCGGTCCAAAAAGTAAATTATAATGTTTGGAATGATTATGAATACTTAATTTGGGCTATAGTTATACTGCCTATGCATATTTTAGTAGAAAATATAATTTTTAACTTTTGGCCAAAGATCATAGTCTTCTGGCCCACAGTGCAAACGGTAAATAACTACAAACTAAATTTGTAAATATTAGACAGATTTTGCTAGTTTTTTAAAAGATTTAGCATGACATACGTGAAAAAAGTGGTGAATTATATAAGCCTGCGAATTGTTTAGAAAGAGTGGTGGATAAAAATCTACTAAATTGAATTTTTGAAACCAAGAATCACGATTAATAAACTACCATTTGTAAATATTTTTTCGCTCTCCGGAGTAAGTTGGCATCTCTGTGTATATAAACAAAACTATTTTTGTGTGTTCTATATTGCATTAATTTCTTCAAAACATTTTAATAATATTAAAAAAAAGTTTAAAATTTACTCGAATTTTGTGTTTCTAATAATCTTGGCTTAACCGGTCACCGGTGACCCTTTGGCATTCTACGTCTTAATGTTTGCAGCGAGCTATTCGCAAAGAAATAATTGATGAAAAATAATTGAAAATTAATTATTGCAGCTGCTTCAATAAAATATCGTTCTGATGATTCCTCTATCATATCTACGCCCAGACATTTTCGTAAAATAATTAAAAAATTATTTTATGAAATTAAGAAATAACTTGTAAACACGAAATTAAGAAATAACTTTTGGTAACAATTTTGAAGAAACATAGTAGATTTGTTTCTATGAATGACCGAAATTGGTGGTTTTGGACTTTCCCCGGTGAATGTTGACGATCACATAGTAGCTTTGGTAAATGTCCGAAATATATACTAGGCCTCGTTAAGTGCCACTGCTCAATATACATTTGCCCGGTATGCCCTACATTGATATTTTAAAGGTACAGTGACATTGCCCGGTATGCCCTACATCAATGTTTTTTAAGATCAAGTGCCACTGCCCAATATGCACTCAACCGGTACTCCGAACACTGATGCTTTTCCTAATCCATCCTTAGCAAATATTAAAATATCGAATAAATATAACAATACCAACGAAAAAATCGAATATAACAAATATTTTGGACATTCACCAAAGTGACTATGTGATTACTGACATCCAACAATGAAAGTCGACTTTCTCTTGATTTCGGTCATTCACGATTACAGATACACGTGCTGAAAATAAAGTATAGTTCGTCTGTAGAAAGAACTCCCCTCGCCACAAAATCTGCTGCTATGAAGACAAGAAATAGCACATTTCAAAGAGAGAAGCTTCTCTCTCCCTTCATTCTCTTTTTTTTCCAAAACCAGTCAAAACCAGTCTTAATTATTGATCCAACACTCCTGCTTTAAATAGTTTTACCACGTAACCATAGTGACCGCCACTGCTCCAGACGACTGGCGAGAGAAGTTCTTTCCATAGACAGACTATAACAACAACATACCTGTTTGCATTGTGAAAATTACAAATGAAGATGTTAAAATCCATGTTGCATCATCCGGGGTGACTCCTTCCAGTCCCGGAATAATATCATTGTTTGTTTGATTCATTTAATCCAACTAAATAGAAAATAAAAAGTATAACATTTTAAATTTAATATACAGGTTGTCAAAAGGAATGAAAGCTGTGCGTGTTACCAAACTCTGTTTCCCACTTTTCGAAATCATAAATGAGAGGCCCCCTTTTTTTATTACCCATTTATATTGCAGATTTGGATTCCCCAGAAAAAAAGTTTCTCAATTTCACCTGAAAGTTTTCTGATTTTTTTTCACACATGGCTATCGCAAACGGAAATTATAATAATAAGGTACAAAATATGAGGAATGGATATAGCTGAAATAAATGTTACGTCAAAGAAATAAATATAGCATTGTTTGATTTTTTTGGAAAAATCCATGCGATCTCACCGAATTTGCAACAACTTTTCCTTTTTTCTATAAGAAACACGAAGCATCTACAATTTATTTTAGTAATGTAGAAAAATATGATGTCCGGCTGGGGCGATGAAGGATTTACAGAACTAAAAACTCATGAAAACTTACTGCTGGCCAGAATGTCTTAACTTTTTTGCATTTCGAGTATTTTCAAATGCTATTTAAATTAATGTAAGCCTTAATTTATAAAACTATATTATGATGGACCAATATTGAATAACAATTAAAATTATGAAAAATAATGTGATAACTTATACGCTATTTAAGAAAGTGTTTTTGACAATAGCTTCAAAATTGTCGGAAACATGAGGTTGCGAAAGAAAACGATAGCGGAATAGTTACCACGCTCAAGCCCTGGATACTCATACTTCATTCACCAGGAGTTGGCACTTGGCTCCATCTCCTCGGACGATGAGTTCATTTCAGCGCGGGAGTAAGAGGAGAAACATCTCCGCGCTTGAAAGTTAGACAACCCTTAATGCGTGCCAAACGCAAACAGTAAATAAAACTATACCTTTCGTTACTCTAGCTCAGTGTTTCCCAAACTTGTGACTTTTGTGTACCCTTTCTAAATTTTTCGTTTCGCTGTGTACCACTCANGAATAATAATAGTAGTAAGTAAATGATGAATTAATTCATTTTTTATTTGCAGGATTTAAATTAGACACATTTTGCTTAAAAGAAAATTAACAAAAAGTCAAGCTTGGAATTTAAATGTAAGAATAAATAACTCCTACTCTACAAAAAAGAAAAAAAAATTTGCAATTAAAATTTGACCAATTTTTTACTAGTATAATTGCTGAAATTTTTAACTGATTTTCTGCACAGGATGAAAACACAGAATGTTGTTTCTTAAATGCTTTTTAATCTAGATTAAGATAGTAACAATAAAATTTTGAAATATCCATCCGTTTCTTTTTTACAGTCATTTCAAAAATGCAGGTTTGACTGGCTCACTCTGTACTAGGAAGTTCAGCCCCTTGCTCACTTCGCTCGACAGCCTTCGTAATAGCCACTCATACAACTTAGTTTGTTTTTTTCCTACATCGATCTTTTTTTTAAAGAGAAAATATATAAATATTGAAATTTCATGTAAGAAAATTTTAATATTTATATATTATAAATTTTTGATAAAGCAAGAAGTAATCTTACTAGCTAACTATCGAAAAGATTTGTGTTTTTCGGATTAAATTCTTTGTAAACATCACCATTGATATCATTGCAAACGTTTGTTCCTTTTCTTTCTTTTTTTCTTTAGGACAAAATTTTAAACTGTATTAATACGTTTTATTTATTTCGGGGGAACATTATATAAGTATAATTTTCCTTTTATCGATAGAAAATTTTTGCAGCTGAAATAGCCTGTTAACGAAAAGACCTTGTCATTGAAATTACCTATCGACCACATGGTTTCATTATCTCACAGATTCATTATATACCGTCTTTTTTTCTTTCCTAATTTCACCCGTCATTCACTCCCTACATCAAGAATCATTCACAATAGTTGTTGCAATTGCTTTTGCGATGATTATCTACAATAATGTACATTAAAAATTAATCTTAGAAGCAACTGTGTTAAATATGACTCGAAAAAAATTGTGTAATATACAACTTAAATGTGTAAAATACAATTAATGTTTCGTTTTTGCAACGTCATGTGAATAGAGGAGTAGGCAATTTTCAAATAAAATGCTTTTTTCCGGCAACTTCAACATACTATTAAGATTTTGCATCAGGCTAGGTTTAAAAAATTTCATCAGAAATATACTAAATTACAAAGAAGTGCAAGGGGCATAACGTCTAATGTAAAAAATCATAAGACTAGTTTCAAAATTAAGCATGACTTTGCCTACAAAATAATCTTTTTTTAATATTGTCGACTAAATGACATGTCGACGAAATGACCCTGTCGACGAAACGACCCTGCCGACAAAACTACCCTGTCGATGTAATAACCTTGTTAAAGATACGACCCTGTCGATGAAATGACCATGTCGACGAAATGACTTGACGATAAAATGACCCTGTCGACTAAATGACTTGCCGGCGAAATGACCCTGTCGATGAAATGACCCTGTCGATGAAATGACCCTGTCGAAGAAATGACCCTGTCGACAAAATGACCCTTAAAGATACGACCCTGTTGATGAAATGACCATTTCGACGAAATGACTTGTCGATAAAATGACCCTGTCGACTAAATGACTTGTCGACGAAATGACCCTGTCGATGAAATGACCCTGTCGAAGAAATGACCCTGTCAAAGAGAAGACCCTGTCGACGAAATGACCCTGTCGACGAAATGACTTGTCGACGAAATGACCCTGTCGATGAAATGACCCAGTCGACGAAATGACCCAGTAGACGAAATGATTTGTAGATGAAATGACCCTGTCGAGGAAACGATCATGTCGATGAAATGACCCTGCCGACAAAATGACCCTGTCGACAAAATGACCCTGCCGACTAAACTACCCTGTCGATGTTATAATCTTGGTAAAGATATGACCCTGTCGATGAAATGACCATGTCGACTAAATGACTTGTCGACGAAATGACCCTGTCGACGAAATGCCCCTGCCGATGAAATGACCCTGTCGACGAAATGACCCTGTCGACGAAATGACTTGTCGACGAAATGACCCTGTCGATGAAATGACCCTGTCGACGAAATGGCCCTGTCGACGAAATGACCCTGTCGACGAAACGGCCTGTCGACGAAATGACCTAGTCGATGAAACTGCCTGACGATGAAGTGGTGTCGATGTAATGGCCTGTTGATGAAATGAATGCGACCCGAGAGAAATATCTAATTTATGAAATATTTAATTGTAAAAAAAACACATAAAGATTGGGAAATAAATATTTTTGTCATACGATCGCCAAATAGCAACCTTGTTTAGGATTGTACACATCCTTCACCCAAAAAATTTTTTCCTTTCGAAATTATATATTTTGCTTTTATTCCATTGAGGGAAAATAATACCTTAGCTATAAGTTTAAACTTTCTTTGTTCGTCTTTTATAATATGCCGTAACTTTTTTTCTAAACTATTTGAAATTGTTTGCAGTCAGTTTTTTATAAGGTTTAAAGGATAAAATATAGTTCGATATAATTAAAATAATATCAGTTGTTTTTTTAGATACTTTAAAATTAAGGCATGTGATAAAACAGTCAATAATTAGTAAATGAGAGCTTTTTCTTATTTAATAACAAAATAGATGAGTTCAAAAATTAATAAAAATTTCTATGAGAATTCTTATTCAAATTCTAAATATTAAATGTAAAAAATTTATTTCGTACTGTCGCAAAATTTTACTATAATGTATGAAGTATTTAAAATAATAAAAAAATAAAGAGACTAAGGGTTCAAATAGGAATTAGATCATCTTATTAAAACGAAGATATTTTAAATTTATTCATTTGAAAAATATTTAATATGTTACGCTAGTTTACTTTTAATTCTAGCAACAAAACACTCAAAATTTAAATACTATTAAAATTTGTTTTTAAAACTTTCTAATGAAAAAAATCAATTCTCGTAGGTGACACATTTTATATTCTTTCACAAAGATTCCAATCCTTTCGCTACACATTTAATGCCTACGAAACCATGTACCATAAACATCGAAGCATCGAAGTTACCAGGTTCACAAGCAAAAATATATCACAGTAACAATAAAATACATAAACAAATAATAAATCCAAGTTAAATAATGACGTAAACGGGACGTCAACAAATTCCTTGTGTGATACGTAGCTGTATTTAATTAATTTCACGTTAATTAACATTCCAACTTATGTGTATAAAAACAGCTCGATTTAGCACGCCATTTTTCTTTTGAACGATCAGGTGGCACTGACGTCATAAAGTCACATGCGTGGGTATCGTGATCGTCTTCTTGAAGTGAAAGTACCCAATTAAAAGAGTAAATTATGTGTTACATTTTACGAACGAGACCTCTTTATAACATAAGAGGCGAAATTCATTAGTTAAATACAATGCAAATTAATTCTCAAATCTTAATCATCAACAGACAACAACTCTTTTTTTTTTCAAACATTTTATTATACCGCTGCCAGATCAGTTGGCTATTTATTGATGGATAAAATCATAACAGGTAGGATAAAAATATATCATATCGATTCTCAACATTATGTATAATTTCTCAAAAAATAAGATTGGTGATAGTTTTTTAATTACCATTACTAAAAATATTTTTATCACTCAAATAAATATTTTTAACTTAAAAAAAATGTCCTTTTCGTTTTACTAAATTTTTATTAACTCGATTGAATCTTGTGGTCTTTGTAATGGAATTTCGATAGCTGAATGTTTGTGTATTGCCCAGAATATTGCATCGATACTCGTGCCCAGTGCCAATGCATGATTCGTCCCCAGTAGAATTTATCACAATATGAGCCGCTCAGAAGCCAATGCGGTTAAGTCCATTTTTTGATATTTTCTGATTTTTGGAAATTTTGATGAAATAAATAATAATCTTCTTAGTTATTAAAGGGTTTACTCGTTGGTTACTTTTTTCTAGGTTAGACAGCAATTTTTTTAATAGCTTCTGAATATATTGTATAGTAATTTCAGAAGCCATTGTGAATAAGTCCACCTTTTATCAATATTTTTATCACCTTTTATCAATATTAAAGTATATACCTCCAATTAAACACGACTTTTACAGGACATTAAGGACAACACGTGGAGATCAAGATTTATATTGAAATAACTCGGAAGAAGATGATGTTTGTTATGATGAATGAACATAAAACTTATGACAATAAGTGTTATTTTATTATTTTTACATAAATTTCTTATCTTTTTCAGCTGCCAAAAGGTATAAGTCCTAAAATTTTTAAGATGCTGTCATTATTTCAATAAATACTTACATTTTATTTACACATCCTGTACATATCTTGTTTTTTTGCAGAGTTTACACCTCGAAAAAAGACTTTATACACTTTTCTAATTAAATTAATAAACCAAGAATTTTAAAAACTAATGTATCAAAAAACATTAATTTTCTCAATTTTTGTGTTTTGGACTTAACCGCATTGGCTTCTGAGCGACTCATATAATCATCAAAAAAAATTTAACGTCAACCAAAATTCCACGTTGTAAAAAAATAAATAAGTAAATAAAAATCGTAAAATGTTCACCAATAAGTTAGCAATATATGCACTTTGAGCATGTTGTGACCTAAATAAGTAAGATTTTAAATTTTTATAAACATTTTAAGTACGTGGTTGCTGTAGTAGTTGTTGTTGTAGTTATTGTAAACTGTTCTACCGTAAATTGCTCGACTTCAAGCACAGATTGTCGGGCTACCGAAGCAGGAGAATCATCCCCTCTGCAGAGGATCAAAATTACGATGGCATGTCGTCGGATCATCCTCAGGGATGTTTCCCGTCGCCAATAGCCCATTGAACAGTTCTAGTGTGATGTAAATAAAGTACCTACCTACCTGTTTCGACAAGTATAATTCAATATACTCTGAACTACCACTACATTCCAATAGTTTGAACAAACATAAACCTGAAGTTATTTTATCATGCTTAAGAAAAAAAAACCGAAGTGAATCAACTATTATCCTACAAAAAGGAAAACTTTTTTTGAAGATTAAAAAAGTTGTCAATCAACTTCTATAACTTTTATCACCAAAATCACTTAATATTAAGGACAGTTTGTAGGGCATATATCAATCATACTAAAACTGACCCTTTTCAATGTATTTTTCTGAGAAACAACTTTTGATATCGGTTTGAACTTTTTTAGTTATATTTGAGATTATATTAGTTGCATATGGTGATACCTGTTATAACTGTTAAAAAAAAGTCTTGGTAGTCATATATTTTCCGAAAACAAGCTTAAATAGAACGATTTTCGAACCAGTTTTTGCATACGATAAAAACCTCCCACAAAAAAACCGCGAAAATTTGGTTAATATGCTCAATTGACACAATAAAATGCACTATTCTTACTTATATATAGTTATTACTAGGGCCCGGATTTTGATGACATTTGCATTTTTTTGCATTTTTTGCATTTTTGGACATTTTTTGTATTTTAGAGCATTTTTTTAGATTTATAGGGCATTTTTTTAAATTTTGGGGCGTATTTTGCATTTTAAAGCATTTTTTAAGGTTTTTGTTGATTTTTTCCAGTTTTTTATTATTTTTTTTGGGTGTTTTTATTACATGAAATACAAGATTTGTCTTATAATTTTACATTTCATATTGTAACCCTCAAAGAACTTTTCGAAACATTTGCTAGAGCATACATTTATGCTCTAGAATGTTTCAAAACATTTGCTCCTAGTCAGCTTCGCCCCCTAAACTAGTAATCACATGATGGGGTACCTGGTTGGATGCATGCTTATACTACAGTGAAAATTTTAAGATAGTGAAGTCTATCGTCAGTAGTTCTGATTCAGAAGATGCTGCATCAATTAAGATAGCGCTAAACGTGTTCGCTTCTGATAAAATCGAAGGAAACTTAGCATTTATCAAGGCTAACTTTGCTATTGTGTCCTCGACAATTACAAGCTTGGTGAAACAAGAATTGGAACTTTGCGATGCAATAAATTATATTGATGTAGTGAGTCGAGTGTTGCAAAAAGCAAGGGGAAAAATAGGACAAAGTGTAGCAGCTAAATTGAACAAAGTTTTGGAGAAGAACACTGGCTTCCAAACAATGAAGAAAATCTCTAGGATACTAACAGGTGAAGCAACAACTTTTCAAATTGAAGAAGAATTGTCAGTAAGTGAGACCGTCTTTTTCAAGTACGCACCAATAACATCAGTAGACGTTGAAAGAAGCTTCTCCAGGTATAAAAATTTACTTTCAGACAAGAGACGCTCGTTTACATTTCAAAATATCAAAAAACATTTAATAATCCAATGTAATTCTGATTTTTAGTAATATTATTGAAAACATTTAATAATCCAATGTAATTCTGATGTCTAGAAATATTATTAGATGTAAGTTGTTGTATTCATTAAAGTTTCTATACAAAATGAGAATGTCTTGGTGTCAATATATTTTCCTTTTTTTTGTTATTTTAGGATATAAAACATATTTTTTAAACTTTAATGAACGCAGAACAAGTATTGCATTGCTTTATAGTTTTTGAAATGACTCATAATTTTAAAGAGCAGAACATTGTTTTAGTTCGATATTTTAACTTTATTTAAATCATGTCATAAGGCATTTTTAGCGCAATTTTCGCATTTTTAAGGGCATTTTTTGCACTTTTTAAGGACATTATTTGNCTGTCCGGAGCAAGTTGGCATCTCTGCATTTGATAAAAACCTCAAACCAAAAAACAGCGAAAATTTGGTTTATATGCTCAATTGACACAATAAGTTTATTTGCACTATTCTTACTTATATATAGTAATTACTTATACTTATATATACTTATTACTTATATATACTTATTATTACTTATATATACTTATTCTTAACTTATATATAGTTATTATATATAAGTTTATTATATTAGCATTTAAAAAAAAACAGAAAACAGAACAAAATAAAGTAGGATTTTTAAATAATATTTACCCGAAATCTCCTTCTCAGTTAAATTAACGTCGTATTAAAAACTTCAACGCATTTAGATTGAGCTCTGAGTTGAATGTCTCCTGTCCATCCTACAGCATCGGAGCACAATGTCAACAATGACTACGCAACAATGTCAACAATGACTGAAAAAGGCATGACATCCATAAAACTGTCACTAGTCGAACTGAAAAAGTGAGGAAAAATCCGAACTGGATTTTGAAAATTATCGAGTCTTCAAGTTGTAGTTAGAATGAATAATTCTCTCTCCGGTTGATTAAATGCTGTGGACGAACTGTATGTGGGATTATAAATTGATCAGCTCAAAGATTCTCTCTAGCTTATTGACTCTTTCGTATGACGTCAGAGACACTCCCCCGGGATGTCTCGCGCGATTTGCTGAAATCCTGACACACACACATTCAGAATCCCCGGAGGAGGATTTTCTCCGGTACTTGAGACTTGTTTTGATAAAAGAAAAAGGTAAACATCTTGGAGAGAGAACTCTCGAAACTGGAAAAGGAAATAACTAATAGTCTGAACTCGAACAACAAAATGTATTTTAAATTATATATATTAAATATTTTATATATTATTATTCCATATATTATATCTTTAATATATTATTATTTTATACATTTTATATATTATTTTATATATTATATAGTTCCTATATATAGTATAGCTCATATATGTTATGTATTTTACATATTATATTTATTATTATTTATAAATATATTATAAAATATACTTTATGGAAAAATGCTATTCCGGAAACAATTTTCAATATATTTATTTTTCATCTTTATTTATTTTTTTTACATATTTTTATTTAGTTATTTATTCAATTAGTACTATTAGTTGACATCCTCCCTATATCGTTTTTAAATTTTCAATCGGTAATAAAATACAGTAGGGAACCGATTATCCGGAACCATCGGGACCATTGCTATTCCGGATAACTGATTTTTCCGGTTTTCTGAATCGCTACAAAAAGCCGTCTTTTTAGTGTTAAACCCAACTAAAAAAAAAATTTTTTTTTTGGAAATGATCTTAAAAAGAAGAAAAAACGATGAAGTAATACACTAATGATTATTTCCAAAATGATGGTAAGGTGAACATGTTTAAAAAAAAAAAACAGAAAGATCCAAAAATCTTATGAGGAAAAAAAACATTTTTTTTAAAAAATGGCGGGAAAATTTATCGAATTCCGTTCCGGTTTTTTGGTTTTCCGGTTTTCTGATTTCCGGATAACGGATTCTGTACTGTACTTGTTATTCATCCACTCAAATTCAAATACATTTTTTTGAACTTGTAATGGATGACAATTGATGTTAATACAGTTATTTCAACTATTAATTCATTCATTAAATAGGGATGAGGTAAAAAGGAAACGGAATTTTCTGATCGGTTAAGCGTTAGTCATTGTTTTNTCAGTGTTTCACATATTTTAATTTTTTTTTTTTAAATGTAAAATAATTAAGATAATTTAAAGGGATGCAAGTCACACACACACGCAAAAAATTTGTTGAGTTTTTCACTCATTTAAAAAATAATAAATAAATAAAAAAAGAAATAAGGACTGTGGGGAGAGTAATCATCTACAATGTCAACCTTCTTCCATGAAAAATTACCCCACCATAAAATCGAGTTAACATGTCTTATATACAATTACAATTGGAATTATATTTTTGTAGTTGTAGGCACACTACAGTACTCCCCCTCTAGAATTATAGCCGTGATAGAATTCGATACATGGATATCACTAGTTGATTCATTTCTGTGAGAAGCCGAAAGAACTGTATTAAGATCACCGTAATTTTTTAGTGCTGATCGTGAGAGCTGCATTAAGTTTACAGTCGTGGTCGCTCCTATGAGCAGTCGAGTGTATGCAGTCCACCGTTGTGTGTGATTGAGACTGAGTAGCAACAGTGCGAGGAGGTGGATAATGTCGCAGTCACAAGTAGCGAGTCAACTGTTCAATGTGGACTATCCATCGATGTAGACGTGTTCAGATCGAAGTGGGAGTTTTTGATAAGGTAGGCGTGTTCACATCACATCCGAGTCACCAATTGGGGTGACCCGGACCAAAAGGTCACCAATGTTGGGAAGAGTGGATATCGACAATGTCAACCTTCATCTATGAAAAGGTACCCCATCATAGAATCGAGTTAACATGTTTTATATACTAGTGAATTGGAATTATATTTTTGTAGTGGTAGATACACTACAAGGACAAAAAAAAAACAATACAATAATGGCATAAATTGATGTAGATGGTATAAAATGGTATATTATATTCTTTATGTCTCTTGGAATGTGAGATGAGAACTATTTTCGCTTTTTAGTGTTAAACTTAACTCGTTTATGTCCGAATTTTTATTTATCAAGTATGGGAAAAATGGTTCCTATTTAAAATAGAAAAAAAAAATTTACTTTGAAAACGAGTGAAAATTTCTTCTCTTAGCTACCACTTAGAATTTATTTTTTTTTAACTGTCGATTTATATTTAAATTATGCGTCTATATGACGTTTTTGAAAATGGTAATTTACCTAGAAAAAATTTTATAAAGCTTTTTCCTGATTTGAAGAACATAATCATTATTTATTTAGTGTTTCGCATCTGTGTCTCCAATACAAAAGCTTTTGTCAAGTTGAGGAACGGACAGCAGAAATTAACTTTTCGTACTCGCAGGGCCTGATTATCGCCTAGTCCCAATAGGCATGAGTCCGTAGCGTATCTACCACTACAAAATTACAACTACAATTCACTAGTATATAAGACATGTTAACTCGACTCTATGTCGGGCTACCTTTTCATAGATGAAGGTTGACATGG